ATCCACCAGGCAGCCCTGGAGATCGACCTGTTTGGCAACGAGCACCAAAACTTTACAGAGAACCTGGAAAACCTCATGTCCACCACGCAGGAGAGCCTGTGCACCAGCTGGAGCTGTCCAGCCCGCTTCCAGGATTGCCTCAAAAGTACCATCAACATCAGGTAAACTGTATTTACCTACTATTCAAGTGTTTTGTTAAGACACAGTTGCTGGCTTTTTACCCAAAATATTTGTTTTTTTCCCCCAGTATTTGATGTTTAAGTGCCCTTCAGCAGACCTCAGCTGTGCATTGTCTTATGCCAAAGTTGGCAGAAAGAATTGCAATCAAGTGTTGTGACGTGTTTGTGAGTGGATTGTTGTTACATTATATTTTTCACATTTCTAAGAATTTCACTCTGACCCTTTTTCCTCTCAGTCCTCCTCACGAGCTTCCTCACAGAGACCCAATTCAGTCAGCTGTGGATGAGTTCTTCTGCCCCAAGCTCCTGCTCTGCTGTGAAATTGGGTGAGACACGGCAGGATCTTCATCATCGTCGTCTTTTTCAGCGCTGTGTTGTTGTACTTCCTTGACAATTTTTTATTTATTTTAAACAGATGTGATGGTCTAAGGGAATTCTCCCAGAGGATTTTCTGCCATGGCCCGCCACCCTTTGTTATCCTCAACATGCAGCAGTGGAAGTCAGAGGAGCTGTCGTATGTCCCTTACCATCTGGCTCTCTGTCAGCACAGGTATGAATCAGAGGTGGATATATCTACAGTAGGTTCTGCATTGCTGTTCATTCAAACGATGTGCCAGTGTAGCCTTCATGTTGCTCAGGTGGAGCCCGGCCTCCTAATGCTTTTACATCTGCTGAGCCAGAGGCCTGTGCACAGTCATCATAGCTGAATTAATGGAACTTTATTTATGATGCAGGATGGTCATTAAAATTAAAAATGTCCGATAACTATCCTGTCTGATCAGTGATTAAATTTTAAATGTCATTTGGATCTTCTCCACTGCACTGTTGTGCTGCCTGTCTTTATTTGTTGGGATTTCTTTCATTGGAAATCAAGAGCAGCAAAAATATCTGGAAAAATCTACTTTCCAGTATTGAGAACAATAAATGTTTTTCTTACCTGCAGGTACACACTTGAGGGTGCCACACTGTTCAACAAGGAGGAGCATCACTACTCTGCAGCCTTCCAGATAGACGGTTGCTGGATGCACTATGACGGTCTGAGGAACGATAATCTGATCTTGTTACACAAGCCCCCAGAGCTCCTGCTGCTGTCCTCTCTGGTCTATGTCCGCACCTCTGACAAGTGAACTCATAGTTTCTCAGGTGGACATAGAGTACAGATGAGCCAAAGTCTCAGCACATGCCAGAGTGATTGCATTCATCCAGTTTTTTGTTGTTACATTACCACAATGTTGTTCTTTTCTTACTGCATTGCTATAAGTTTTAATTCCTGTCCTGGGTTAGCTTCCTCAATTCAGCTGAATGCTTGGTTAAAGCTGACAGTGCAAAATGGAAATGACATCTTTTTGGGCACGCTTGGAATCCAAGAATATAATGGACTATAATAGTCCAGGGTTGAGATTTATAAACAATCATACGAGTCAGTACTGAATTTCATATACATGTGCAGTGACCATTGGCATAAGAGATTAGTAGGTAAAACTGCTCTGTAGAAATTTCTGTTTGGAGTTGATACTGACACAAGTTTTCAGTACAAGTATAAAAAGTATTGGTTTTTTTTTTTTTTACCTCCATGGTTGATTTACAAAACTCTCCTGCCAGCCGTGCATGCAGCGATGCAGACCTCTCAGCTGTTGTGCATCTGTTTGGCAGTGCTTTTCCATAATAACCACTGGTTAGTTTTTAGCACAAGCATAATGACACAGAGGGTGCAATTGAATCAAACTTGGTCATTATGCCAAAGAAAATATACAATCTGCTAATGTACACACAGTTTTTCCTGTCTTCATAGTTCCAAAGGTCTGTGTACAATTCCCAAGTCCTCTCTGGTTCCTGCACTGATCAGATCCATTTCATTCCCAACGCAGACACACCAGCGCACAAACATAAATGTAAGCCCCCTTGCTACAGGGATTCAACGCAGTACTGTAATTTAAGCTTATGTTTATGCATTTCAGTCCTTTCCTAAAATTAAACTGGTGCTTCCCCCCCCCCACACTTACACTGTGGGGTGAGGAAAAACTACTAAGTCCCCGCCTACCAGGTGAACAAGTTAAGGTTTAAATTTGAGGTAAGCATTTGCCAAAACAGGTGAAAATATAAAATTATGCCAATTTAGAAGTAATCTGAAATTACACTACAAGCTGGCCTAGAAATCCATTCAGGCCACATGCATAAACCGATGAATAAAAGTCAGACAGTTCACAGCTTGTTCAGCACACAGCAGTCTCAAAATGTTACGTTAGTGTTTTGTTTGGTTCAAGTCAAAGCATTACTGTTGTCACACAGTGCCTCTCTCAAGGAAAGTTTAACATGAATCCAGTTGAGAGTTAATTCTTGGATCAAGATTTTAAGTTGTTTTTTTTCCCTGTTTGTTTATATGCTGACACTGTCTTTACAATACAAATACAGATATTTTTGAAACCTTGCCTATGGCTCCAGTTTATCATCCTTTTTCACGTGCATGCCAGGAAGAGATGCAGAAAAAGCAGGCAGTACCTTTTTAAGGCAGGCATTTATTTTAAACTGGGTACAGCTGCACCACATAAACAGACTTAAATGTATGTAAAATGTCTTCAGTCAAACATGAGAAAATGTGAAAAGCTACTGTTTTTAAACACCTAATGTTATCTTGTACTTCCAGTATTAATCCACAGGATATAAAATTCAAGATCATCACCTTACTCCAGACACACAAGGAAATGTAAAAAGAAGCAGAGTGGTCATTTTGGCTAACATCGACATCAGTTTCATAGGATTTCACCCCCCCCCCCTCCCAGACATAAACAGAGTGGTAGGCCACTGCAGAACATGTGTTAGTCATCCATCTGCTTTCTTTGTACAAGCACTTTGGTGAGAGTGGTGGCAAAACATGACATTAATTTAGGCCATAATTTAAAGAAAAAAAAAAAAAAAAGCATACATCTGTTCTTTTTTTGCAGATTCACGTTTCCAGATTTTCATCAGCCTCTCTCCAACCTTAAAATAGTTAGTATACACATCAGAAATGGCAACATATGTACATAACAGTGACAAGATGAATCGTGGCAGCGGCGACGGCGCACAATTACGCCTGCGTGATTCTGTGCCGTGGCTGCAGTGCTAAAGTGACAAACACTACTACAACAGACCAAAAAAAACAAGAATTTAGAGAACACAAACAAAACAAATACAAAATTAATAGTTGTGCCGTTTTGAAATAAAGTGTACAGACATACAAATTAAGTTGTGTGTTACTTTTCAAATAAATCAGAAATTCAAAGTACTTGACTTTGATGGGGAAAAAAAGAAACAAATCAATGTCAAACCGCGATTCTCACATGTGACACTGACCAGTTTGCACGGCAAATGTCATTTAACTTCTCATCTTACAGATTTAGTTTAGAGTAAACAAGGGCAAGGTGAAAGAACACACCTATGTAGTGTTTACGAGACTTATAAGTGCTGAACTGCAGGAAAAAAATTCATCTAAATTGAACCAAATAAACACATGCTTTGTGCAAAATGAACCAGCATGCACAACAAAAATGACAACATAGGATGACTGGTTGGTTTAGACAATGTCAAGCTACAGTCTGATGTTTCATTTGGACATCACCAGCCAACAGTGTGATCTGACAGACATGTTATGTGGGGGTTCTCTTACACCAACATTAGATGCCTTGGCCTTATTCTATTTTTTTTCTCTTCTTTTTAAAGAGACAAACAACAAAACATAATTTAACCCACGAAAGGAAACAAGTCTTATTGCAGTATCTAAATGCCATTAGCTTAAATCAAAACATATATAGAAATTACAATATGTATCAAATAGTTTGGTAAGTGCAATGCAGAGCTTGGTTAAAGTTCCCACTTATGTGCAAACATTAGTCCACAAAGCAACGCAAAAAACCCACAACCAACAACCCATGCCTTGAACATAAAACAAGTGACTTAAGACGGATCACTACCTGGCCGTCTGCTAATCGAGTGTCCCCTCTATTGCTGTGCAGTCACTCGAGCCCAGTCGCACGCTTTGAACTCTCTCCCAGGCCTGGTGACAGCAACAACATGGCCAGAGCTGGCAAGCACAGCCCTTGGTGCCTTATCATCCACCTCCATATATAACCACATGGAAGAATGCAGGGAAAATATTTAAAAATGTGGCACAAGGGAAGATGTTGCGTAGGACCGTTTCCTTTTCAAACTTTTTGCCGTTTCACACCAATCTGTGAAAATATTACTTAAAACCTAAGCTTGCAAGCAAGACCTGGCCACGTGTAGACATGTTTTTAGAGGAGGATTAACTAGCACAGAAATGTCTGACCCAATCACAAATAAAATCGTGTTCAAAGCCAAGAGAGGATACCAGCTACAGATAGTTGACAAAGCATGCTCACATCCTGCAACTGGACCAATAATGGAGAAAGTGTAACATTTAAAAAAAAAAAAGTTTGAAGTATTTGAGAGAAAGAAAAAAAAAAAGAAAAGAAATCATGCCAATCTTCTCGCCTTTGGGGACTATGCAGGTAGAAGTTTGCAGTTGTTGGCCCACAGGCTTCCCTTTTAGTAGCTTTAGGGGCCACTTGCATTTTCTCCAATTAAATTCATACGATAGCAAATAACTATCACCAGTTACACAGCAGAGGCCTAACAGAGTTTGACATTAACTGGATGAAGCAACGCAGACAAACAGCTAAATCCTGAATCCTAAATATAGCACCAGTTAGTATTGTATACAGACCAAAAAATGAAAGAAGCCAAGTCATTTCAACTATGTAACAGTAGCAAGTGCATGATCTGACCTTAGACCGATGCAACAGAGGAGAGAATATGAGACCCTTTTTTTTTTTTTTTTAACTTTGTTTTGCGTTTTTAAATGGCTCAGAGGATGAAGCAGAGACTAGTGGTGAACACTTTAAGGAAAATTCACCTCTACAGTGGCTGTGGGAATCAAACTGTACACACATTAGTGAGCCAGTGCAGAAAAACATTTACAGGCAATGCACTAGAGGATATATTTATATCTATATATTTCATTTAGACCATTTACAAGAGAAAGGCAGCCCTTTTTTGAGAAAATATAAATATTCCAACTTTTCTATTTTTTGTCAAGCACTGATGTGGATGCAGAATTATCCTGCGTTGCTGAGCCCAAGCATCAGTTCTGCACGCAGACATGTGACAAAACAAAACAGTTCTATCTGACATGCACATACCCCCTGGACCATACACACAGACATACACACTATATGGCCAATAACCACATAGTCATCAAATGCACAAGCAAACTGCAGTGTTCTAGGAAATTTGAACACACAGCTCTGGTTGCAGCAGAAAAATTCCTAAACAAAACAAAACAAAAAATTTAGCACAATTAAGGACGTGAAGCACAACATAAAACTGTCTGCAAACTTGACGAAGAATTTTGTAACGTAAATAAGCAGATTCCACAATCCTCTGAGACATAGCTCGAAGTCCTCATTGTGGTCCAGCAGCAATAGAGCGTTCATCTCAGTTTTCCAGTGACAGTCATCCAAACACCATCCACCTTCCTCCGTTATCTCCAGAACCTTCCAGCTCTTCCTCATCCCTGCAGCACGGACTGCAGTCCCCCTTCTAGCCAGCCAGCTAGCCCGGTACACCCATCCACTCAGAAATGCTCTGATGTTAACGAAAATGTGCAGGCAAGCTCATCTGCACCTGGAGGATGAATGTGGGGAAGGAGGAGGAGAGCCAAAAAAATAAAATAATAAAATAATAAAAAGAGAGAGAAAGTCTTCTTTGTGTCTAAGGTAATTTATTGGGTCCTAGCTGGCTGGGCCATGGGTCAAAGGGCAGTCAGACCAAAGTTACAACGGCAGTACATCATGCCACTGGAGTCCAACCAGCTGTCTGAGATGGGATCATAACGCTGAACGGTGTTCAGGTAGGATGACCCAGAGTGACCTCCTACCACATAGAGGTAGTTGTCCACAATGGCAGAGCCCACACCTGGAAGACAACAATACCACAAACATCTCTCATTATAGGCTTTTCGTGTTATTTTCTGGATCCAACCATCACAATAGAGTCACTCATTTTGAATTTAAAACTCAAAACTCACCAGTTCTGGGTTCGTTCATTGGTCGGCACGCCGTCCACTGGTTTTGATGTGGATCGTACCGCTCGATGCTGGACAGGTGCGACACTCCGTTGTGTCCACCCACCACAAATATAAATCCAAGCATCACACCTACTCCGAAGTTGATCCTCTTATCTGCCATGGGGGCTACCATTTCCCAGGCATCCTTGCTAGGGTCATACCGCTCCACGCTGTGTACAGTAGACGCAGCACAGTTATCAAAACACAAAGGTTAAAACGCTCCAACTCACCCGCTACTTGCAATACCTAGCTTTGCTTCCAGCTGTGCCTTCACTTTGAGATATTTATGGCAATATCCACAATGACCAGTCTTTGCAGACCTAAAGGTGAGCTCACATTACACATCTGGTGTAAGAATGCCTCCTCCATCTCCTGTTCCCCTTCTACTAAAGCCTAAATGACAGTTCAGAGAACCTTTGTTCAGCTTTGAATGGGAGCTATTGCTCAGTCAAACAGAGGCACTGCTGCATTGTATTTATTTTTTCCACCACCACTGTTATAGCTGTGTGCTGAGAAATTTTGTTAAGTAATGTAAACACAATGGGGCTCTTTCTATGCATGCGAGCTTCACAATGCATAATGACTGAGCAATTTTCTTTTAATCGTACAGGGAAAAAAAGAAAACAAGTTAGATGGTCATATCAAACACGCCAATTTGAACTTGTAATGAGGGAGCGATGAATTCCTGAGAGCCACTGGAACATTGGCAAACTAAGCCATATAAGCCACGGGGGAAAGAAGAAGAAAAATGTCCCCACAGATTCTGTCCAAACACATTTTCCTGAGGGGTTTTGGGAGTCAAGGAAACAAGCAACAAGAGCGCTGCTCTCTAGTGACCTCAGCAATACAGCAACACATTTAACAACCAATTCTGTTATGGCTATCCAGCACTTATTAACAAGCTCCTGGTCTTTTTCTCAGCTAGACTCGATATCCTTCACTTCATTGCCACTTCTAATAAATAATTAACATAACCCTGAGAGGAAAGAACCCCCCCCCCCCAAAAAAAAACAAAAAACAAACACACAACAACAACATTTTAGGAATTCTTAAAGTCCTAACCTGTTTCGTTAAAGACCGTTTTAAACTAAAGATAGTAGTGGGGGGGGGTACAATTCTATGTCACACGCATCTATACAAAGCATTATTTGACCGCTAAATAAATTGGAAAGTCATTTAAAATTGCCTGGTCCAAGTATTTAATGGTCACTTGGAGACAACATGCACTTAGAGCATATATACACAACTACTCTAAGTAAGATTACCTGTTCATATGTGCTGGGCCATAGCCTCCAATAGCATACACCATCCCATCTAGGACAGCGGTGGCAAAGCAGCTGCGAGACTTCGTCATGGGTGCCACAGGCTGCCACTCCTTCAGCTTCGAGACATACTTCTCCACAGACTGGAGGTAATACTGGCCGTCATAGCCTCCAAGGCATACAGCTCTCCGGCCAGGACCACTACACCGAGAGTGCTGCGACACTCTGCCATACGCTCCACTGAAGACCACGTGTTGGTTTCGGGGTCCCAGCTTTCGACTGTGCTCTCGTGCCTCCGATAGCTAATGCCCTGCCTCATATGTGTGGCGATGCCTCCCACAACATAAACTTTGTGGTCCAGCACCGCCACTCCAAATTCATATCTGGGTACACTGAGAGGGGCCAGTCCTATCCATGAATCCGTCTGAGGGAAATACATTTCCGTGCTGAAAGACAAGGAAAAAACAAAACACTAAGACACTTTTAAAAAAAAATTTAAGTTTAGAAAGTTGCTTTTATACAAATGCATCCAATTGTAATCTACAAGTCACTAGCATTACCTTTCCAATGTGGCAAACAGTCCAGCCTTGCCTCCTACTGCAAGCAGCACCTTTGGGGCACACCTGGGTCGTGCAGACAACACAGTCTGATAGGACAGCCGGTGTTCAGGCATAAAGTGATATTTGAGGGCCTCATTGAGCAGATGCTTGCAGGCGTGGTCATCTCGTATAAGATGGTTGGCTTCATATAGGCGAGTGAGGAATTTGACGCTGAGCAGCGGAAGGCGAACACAGTGCAGCAGTTGAGCCAGATGCTGCTGTCTCTCAGTTACATCATATTTGATCCATGATTCGAGGGCATAAAATACAGTCTCCTCTGTGACTACCTTAAGGCAATCATTGGACACAATTTCATCCAACTCGGCTCTCGTCAGTTCAAAAAACTCCTCCGTTTGACAGACTTCCTCAAAGTTCTCACAGATGAACTTCGTTGCAGCCAAGCACAGGTCATGACAGCCGTAAGTCTCTGCAAAGCGGGAAATGCCTATACAGTTTCCAGCGTCCAGCTGGCTCTCTAAGAAGGAACAACACTCCTTAAGTACAAGCTTAACCTGGAGTAAGTTGGCAGCGGGGAGCAAAGATTCCACTGTCTCCTGGGAGATAAACACCGTCCCGGTATAAGCATACTCCACTATAGCCTAGAAGCAAAGACAGCACAAGTGTTACAATAAACATGCTACAGCAGTTAATCACTGTGGCTAGCAAGTGTTGGATAGAAGCATACCTGCAAGGCAGCTTCATCAATGCACTGGAACTCCACCTCAGAGGTCTCCTTTTCTGACAGGTTACCCGTAAACATGGCCTTGAAATAAGGACTGATGCTGGCCAGCACTACTTTGTGGGCATGGATCTTGGCATCACCCACACGCAGCACAATGTCACATAGTTCGTGATCCTGCCGCAAGAGCTGGAGGCCTTGCAGCAGCTCCTCTGAGTGAGGCCGTGTCAGACTTGCAAACATATAGGACTGGTCCTGCTGGTCCATCTGAGAGCAGCAAATCACAGATCAGTGTAATGTTTTGAGAAGAGTCATAAAGTCAGTGATGTTTTCCAAAGATGGGCCGGTCAGCTAATAGAAGTCCTGGACGTTATCCAAGTGCCATACGGCTCTGACACTACAAGCCTGAAAAGTCACACTTTCTGGCTTGGGTAACGTGACGTAATAACAGCACGCGTTAAGTAAACAGGCCTGGGCAGTATGATGCAGTCAGACATTATTTCCCCCGAACCAAGTATTGCATTAGTTGTTCTAACCAGTTTTGTTAGCAGATTACTGCGAGTTAAGATAAATATGCATGGTCTTTATTAAGAAACAACGCAGCGTAAAGTCATCTACACGTATTAGCTAAAAACAACACACATTCTAGATTGCCCTAAAACCAGGAGGCTAAATGTGAGCACTCTGTAGCCAAGCTTTGGCACAACGAGTCACAACAACACATCAGTTTGTTAACTGGGGCCTTGATTTCTGAACGCAGGACTTGGCCAGATTAAAAATCGCTAGCTACCTCTTAGCTTAAAATAAGCACACAGCTAATACGGTAGCCAGTACTGTAAAGCTCACCAGCAGCTTAGCAGTTTGCATAAACACATTTGCACGAACATCACACGCACAACGCTCATGTGTGCACTGTACTGTCAGTATATTATTTTTCCACGCCAACAAATACAGAGAGCTGATATTGCCGTTTCCCTGCGCTGCAGTCACCTCAGGTTAGCTGCTAAAAATAAACACGGTTCCTGTGGCTAGCTGTATCATTGATTGATATACAGTAACATGGCTGACAGATACAAAACGTGACGTTGTAGCCAGGATTTAGATAACATTTAGCATCGTCAGAAAAGCAAACCTGTAGTTTACAGCCCGTCTGGCGTGCCGCTGTAATGACCGATTTTGCAGTGGCGACGACAGCGAAGCCCGGGCGGCTATCAAGAAAACAACCTGCAACCTAGCCACAAAGCTACAGACGAGCTCTTATTATAACCAGCTACCAGGGCAGCACACCCACTTCCGGTGATTTTCAAAATAAAACGATATTTGCCGTTATTTAATTCACTGAATCAATGACAATGCTCGTTATTGAGTTTAACCGTATTCTACTTGGTGTTCTTTATTTTACTTATTTCCTCCTTTATTTTACTCATTACTTTTATTTTCAAAAAAATCCTCTCTGCAATTGTGCTCTCCGCTTATCCGAGCAACGTAAATTGCATTGTACTGATCGATTGCTTTATAGTTTGAAAAAGAAAATGTGTTTCACAATTCAAAAAAGAACTATTTACAAGAAATGAACACATTTTTAGTCCAATACAAACCTACTGTGTTATGTGGCAGCATTGCAGGCATATGTTTTACTTGAATGTGGGAGGGGAGAGGAAAGGAAAGTGCAAAATGTAGGCACCAGGTATCATCGTGACACTACCACTCACATGATATATTGCTGCTAAGTAAGCACACATAATTTACCCTTTTGTTCTCTTGTGTTGGGAAGACAATGTATGTTTTTTTAAAGGAATCATGTGCCCTTTAGCTCAACGTTGTTACTAAAGATGACTACCAAGAAGAAGCTTACTTGGTTTTTACGAGTTTTTGAGAAATAAAATATCCTTGTATCAGACCTCTTCATGAATTGTATTGTAACTTCTGTGTGTGTGTGCAAGGGGCCAGAGAAGAGGAGGAAAGGGTGTTGGCTGCTGACTAAGTTCACAACATGATGTGTTTTTCTATGTGGAATATTTATCTTTGCCAAAAGACAAAAAACAAACAAAAAAAGTGCCAGGACCAGTGATTGTATACACTCTCAATTCATATTTCTATTTTGGGATTTAATTAAAAAAATATTTGGAAGAATGCTGTTTTATTGCAAAGACTTGTGAGCTTAACAGCAAGTTTTTTTCTTATTAAAATGAAATATACATAAAGTCACAATTTAAAAACACTAGAAATACAGCCCAGAGCCCTGACAATTTTCCACTGATTAGTTTTTTTAAGGTACAAGATAATATCAGAAAAACTTAAAGCTACCTTATATAATAATCTATTTGTTATTATGTTATTAATAATCTGTGTAGTCTAGTTTATACCAGTGCCTCGCAATTTATCAGTTCATGATAGATTTGCATAACAATAACGTCGACTCACCAGCAGTTATAACTGACATGTTATGGGGCATAAAATAGTCCATAAAAAAAAAAAATAGTCCATATTTAGAATAAAGAAACTTCTATACATTTTCATTTTAGTTTAGTTTAAATTTTTGTGAATACAAAAAAAATGAAATAGTAAACATTCTTTTACACAGTGATAAATAAATACCAAGAAAAGAAAGTATACCTGTAATATGTGTGAATGTGTGTGTGCGTGTGTGTTTTAGTGTTCAACAAAGAGACCAAAAAATAACTGGATAAATAACTTAAAATGTTATTTTAGAGTTACATTTTATGCCAACATGGGTGTGTGCTATATGTAACACAATGCAGCACTTTATATTCATGCCATAACGTATTGTTTAATTTTTAAATTTTATTTACATAAATATGGACATTAAACTTTTGTCAGGAAGTTACATAACTCCAAAACGTGCTGAATATATACAGTGAAGAAAACTAGATGTAAAATACTTTGATTTTCCCGCATCACATAATCACATTTATAATCACCGTCTATTTTGAGTCTTAACCTCAGATTCCTTGTAACGTCTCAGTCTGGGCTGCAGCTCCGTGACGACGATGCCGCCTGGAGGAGCCTGGTGCTCGCGTCTCCATGGAAGCACTCAGTTAGTTTGCGACATGTATTCGCCATTTTGCAGCTTCGGTGTGTGAAGTAACGGGGTGGGAGGGGGGCTCTTCTCGAGGTGAATACCTCTGTAGCTTCCAAACATTCAACACTCCAGACGTCAGCTAAAACAGCCAGGGAAATGTCTGCACTTAGAGAACTGTAGCGTCCGCAGTATGTCATGGAAATTTGGACGACGAAATATCACATAGGGTCGCCCAGCGTTGCCGAAGAGGACCGGGAGAAAATGCAAGGTCTGTTTTCTTGCTGTTTTTCTAACTTTGCTAGCCCAGCCACACAGAGCATACAACGGCGGAAAAAAATAGCGGAGCAGCGAGTTAGCTTAGCACCATTTCAGTGGTGTTGTAGTAAGCTAAGATTCTCTGTAGCTTCGCTAATTAGGCTGCTTAGCGGTAACGTGTGATCAACGTTTAATTGTAAGTCAATTGAAGGCATTACTTTGTAGCAAATAACAGGCTAAAGCTCCAATCGACACACTTCCAAAGCCTAACTAGTTATTTAAAAAAGCAGAAATAATGTAACATACAAACGTAAAGGTTGTCGTAACCATTTTTGTGGTAACTACGTTTCCAAGAGCCACAAGTGGTTGTGTTCCTTCGCCCTTATCTACCGTATCATGGTGATCGATCTGGAGCACTAGGAGACTCTCGCTAAAAACATACACCGTTATGTTGCTCTGCCTTGCTAAATATTTTAATGCGGTGTTACAGGAACCGCTAAGCCCTTTCTTGACTGTTAATTCTCTATATTCTCTATATTTTGCATTCACAGCTTGACAAACGGGACTGTGGTTTTTCCATCATCAACCACTCAGGATGAAAGCACCAAGTAAAGAGGAGGAGCATTACTGTCCTTGCAGGATTGTGTTTGCTTCCTTGGATTCTAAAATTTGACCAAATCCACCAAAAGAGTACCAATAATGATACCTGGATTGATCACCCAGGAGTTACAGGAGCAGCTTCTGGATGTGAAGAATTACCAGAATCGCACAAATGGGGTGGAGGAGCTCAAACACATCCTCTCAGAAGTGGACATTAAGTCAGTCCCTTCTGCTGGCATTGAGGCGTTTATAAATTTTCTCCCGCGACTTCTCGACGATAGTAATTTTAAGGTGTTTTCTGGCACCTTGCAAGTTTTAAACTTGTTAATTCGGAAGCTAGATACAGCTGTAGACAAATATTTCAAACATATAGTCTTAGTCGCCCTAAAGGCTTTAGGGGATACTCGCACTGTCACCAGGAATGAATACCTGAATGTGTTTCGACAGCTGATGAAAACTATTCCACCCCAGCAAGTATTGGATCTTGTAATTGGCCACTTGAAACACAAGAATTCCAGGGTTCGGGAAGATGTCCTTAACATCATTATGGCAGCTATGCTCACTCATCCTAGGAAAGATTTCAGCATCCCCAAGCTTTGCTTTGAGGTTGCGCCATACCTGGCAGACAGCAAAAGGAGGGTCCGACATGCCGCCCTCGAGCTGTTTGCTGTTTTTGACCATTGCCTTGATGCACGGAGAAAGCCGTCTCTCATGGAAGCTGTTGACATGGTTGAACTGAATGAGGATGCAGAAGGTCTGATGGCAGCTGTACAGGCAAGACGAGCAAGGCACATACTTCCAAAACTCTCCTCGGAAGGTATAGTGGAGTACGGCTTGGTGGTGCCCAAATCGGGCCAGCGGTGCTCACCACAGTATGGTTCTGGAGCTGATTTAGACTGGGTGTTGAATGGAGGGCGGATAAGTAGTGCCAGGAGCCACAGAACAGAACCAGACTGTGACAGATTATATGGCTATGGCAGCTTAGGCTCCCTCACCGATGACCTTCCACTTCAAAGGAGGATTGTCAGCGCGGGCAAAGGAAAGAACAAACTACCCTGGGAGATGTCGAGCTTCTCGTCCACTGAGAATGACCAACAGCAATGCAGTACACCCAACGGAAAGTGCACTGAACAGGTGGAGCTCATCAACACTGGGGATAATCTCAATAATCTTTTATGATAATTATGCCATTTGGATAACTTGCAATGATTTAGCATCTGTTTTTAAATACCTGTTTGCTTTTTCTCTCTCACCATGTCAAAATAAGACATAGTTTAGAGGAATTATCTGGTTTATCGCCAGTTAATTTTCCCCAATAACAGATGATTTTGACTCATATTAATGAAGCAAATTTCAGTTTTGCACATTAGGGCATGATTGCTCATCTGTTGACTGCCTAAACAAAGGAATATTTTTAATATTTTCCTTTAAACTACTGAGTATCAAAGCAGTTCATGTTGATTTCTCCCCCAATGAGCCAGTAACTGCAGTCACTACATGAAAGGAGTGGTTATTTTTGTCCTTGTTGTCTGTCTTATTTTACTCATGCTTAGCTTGCAGATAACATAAATGTTTGCATTATCAGAAACCAGTATTTTTTTAGTGAGATGAGTGATAACTAGAGGCAGCCTTCCAAAGATTTATAAGACATTTTAGAGGTGGCTTTTTCTTCAGAGACAGTTTTGAGGACAAAGCCTAAATATAGATATAGCTCTCATGATGCAGTATGTGATAAAGAGCAGCAGCAGAAAGGGTTGTGCTTCTGTGTGTCATTTTGTAAGTTTTTTTTAATACATCCTTGCACACGTCTTCTTTTAGAACTGCCTTAACACCCCCCCCCCCCCCCCCTTTTTTTTTTGTTTTTTTGCTCTTTGAAGAAAATAATGTTTTCCAAGACTTGGAGTATGAAAATAGACTAAGATCGGTGAATTAATTTGGCTCTTAGTTCTTTATAACCACGGATAAATGGATAGACTCTCACTGGTACTATTCCTGTAGGAGATACAGTAGATGACTCATTTTTCCTGTATAGTGACACCATTGCTGCAAGGATGAGCGCCCAGTTTCAAGTACAAGTCTTGCGACAGTAGCTCTCAACCTGTTTGAAGGAAGGAAAGGAGAACATGTCATTTGTAACCTAACAAACTACAAGAACTTATTAAGCCATTACCAGCTTTATTTTAATAATCCCCTGGCTTTTTCTAAAATTAGTTATCAATTGACTGTGTTTTGTTCTGGGAACTAATATCCAGCTCAGAGCCTGTATTCGAGAAACCTTGCGTTTACAGCAGTGTCTGTTTCCCAGCAACCCCATTACCAGATAGCGCAGTTACTGAAGTGATCGTGAAACATAATTGGTAATAACACAGAGTTATGCTTGCAAAACATGGCCTATTGCCTGCTCCACTGTTGATTGCAATCATGCCAAGTGCTCTGCTATGAGTGCTGATCAGATTATAGGCAGCGGAACTAATTTCAGCCTCACTGTTTTATCTGAGTGGTTGAAATACAAAAAAAACACACAAAAAACAAAGCAGTCTTTATTCATCTTTCTAAGGTTGCGTTGTGACCTTAAAACTTAAATGTGAACAGTGGACATCATACACCAAATTAAACTTTAGAGTAGCAGAAAGACCGTAAGCAGGATGTTTCCAGCTGACTAAATATCTCCTGCGTCCCTTTGTTGAGTGAATGACATTACATTGAGGTCCCCGTTATAGTTAGCCTTTGGACAAGGTTCATCATTTTTGTAATTTTTTTCCCTCTCCAACCCACCACAGTGTATTTGAAATGAAGCAATCAAGTTGGCAGTGTAGACTTCATCCTTTAGGAATTACAAACATTTTTTTCCACAGTCATTTTAGCAGGATCAGAAATAACTGGACAGACTATAGTTATAAAAGGTTTAGCATGTCAGTGTCTGCTCAAAGCTTGGAACCTATGGACATCACTAAATGCTTTTCTCTGCAGGAGGAAAGCATTTAGTGATCTAGTGTGTGTCTGTGTTTTTGATGGAGTTATTTTTCAATTTCACACAAGGAAAAGCACAATGTGAAGTGGCAGAGTATGTGCGAGTCTCATAATTGGCCTAGAATTGCTAGAACTGTCAACTGTGGCTGAAAAAAGATGTGCTGAACTGTGAATGCTTCCCTGTTGAAACCCCAGAGATGATTATCAGACAGCAGCACTTGTTTTTATGACACTTGTTTTACCTTTTATACTTAATGTTTACCATTTAAAGAAATAATTGTACATTCTTTCACAGGGGTCAAATGGGGACACTCTTTCTTTGTCCAGGAAGCCAGAAACCTACATACCCAGTTTTAGTAAGTACCAAAACTTTCTTCTCTTTATATAATCTGACTGCATACCAGTCAGATTATACAGGGAGTGCAGAATTATTAGGCAAGTTGTATTTTTGAGGAATAATGTTATTATTGAACAACAACCATGTTCTCAATGAACCCAAAAAACTCATTAATATCAAAGCTGAATGTTTTTGGAAGTAGTTTTTAGTTTGTTTTTAGTTTGAGCTATTTTAGGGGGATATCTGTGTGTGCAGGTGACTATTACTGTGCATAATTATTAGGCAACTTAACAAAAAACAAATATATACCCATTTCAATTATTTATTTTTACCAGTGAAACCAATATAACATCTCCACATTCACAAATATACATTTCTGACATTCAAAAACAAAACAAAAACAAATCAGCGACCAATATAGCCACCTTTCTTTGCAAGGACACTCAAAAGCCTGCCATCCATGGGTTCTGTCAGTGTTTTGATCTGTTCACCATCAACATTGCGTGCAGCAGCAACCACAGCCTCCCAGACACTGTTCAGAGAGGTGTACTGTTTTCCCTCCTTGTAAATCTCACATTTGATGATGGACCACAGGTTCTCAATGGGGTTCAGATCAGGTGAACAAGGAGGCCATGTCATTAGTTTTTCTTCTTTTATACCCTTTCTTGCCAGCCACGCTGTGGAGTACTTGGACGCGTGTGATGGAGCATTGTCCTGCATGAAAATCATGTTTTCTTGAAGGATGCAGACTTCTTCCTGTACCACTGCTTGAAGAAGGTGTCTTCCAGAAACTGGCAGTAGGACTGGGAGTTGAGCTTGACTCCATCCTCAACCCGAAAAGGCCCCACAAGCTCATCTTTGATGATACCAGCCCAAACCAGTACTCCACCTCCACCTTGCTGGCGTCTGAGTCGGACTGGAGCTCTCTGTCCTTTACCAATCCAGCCACGGGCCCATCCATCTGGCCCATCAAGACTCACTCTCATTTATCAGTCCATAAAACCTTAGAAAAACCAGTCTTGAGATGTTTCTTGGCCCAGTCTTGACGTTTCAGCTTGTGTGTCTTGTTCAGTGGTGGTCGTCTTTCAGCCTTTCTTACCTTGGCCATGTCTCTGAGTATTGCACACCTTGTGCTTTTGGGCACTCCAGTGATGTTGCAGCTCTGAAATATGGCCAAACTGGTGGCAAGTGGCATCTTGGCAGCTGCACGCTTGACTTTTCTCAGTTCATGGGCAGTTATTTGGCGCCTTGGTTTTTCCACACGCTTCTTGCGACCCTGTTGACTATTTTGAATGAAACGCTCGATTGTTCGATGATCACGCTTCAGAAGCTTTGCAATGTTGAGACTGCTGCATCCCTCTGCAAGATATCTCACTATTTTTTACTTTTCTGAGCCTGTCAAGTCCTTCTTTTGACCCATTTTGCCAAAGGAAAGGACGTTGCCTAATAATTATGCACACCTGATATAGGGTGTTGATGTCATTAGACCACACCCCTTCTCATTACAGAGATGCACATCACCGAATATGCTTAATTGGTAGTAGGCTTTCGAGCCTATACAGCTTGGAGTAAGACAACATGCATGAAGAGGATGATGTGGACAAAATACTCATTTGCCTAATAATTCTGCACTCCCTGTATAAAATGAAAGCGTGTCGACATGACCAACACTTCTGCCAGATCCCAACAGAGACTGGAACAAAATGTCATGCTAATTCACTGTTGGTTAGTACGGCTATTGGTTGGTACAGCAGTCCCACAGAAAGGGGCATCGACAGCAGCTGTTCATTTAGTTTAAAAGCAGTTACTGACACTGAAAGAGAATGAAGGACCTGTGCTGTATTTTGAGCTGAAGCTTGGTTGGAACGTATCAAACTTACTTCAGCGGGTTAAAGGTAGCATGATAATTTTCAGGATGGACGCGGGCAGTAAAAATAGCAGCATCAAAGTTATTGTGGCTTGCTTTATTGTTGATTAAAGAGATTAGACTCATTTCCAATACTGCTGCACCATGTTTTTGTAAGGTAGGGACATGCTAGTGGTAATCCTAAAAAAAGGTAACAAGTTTGGACATGTGCCTGAAATATTGAAATGTAGTGACCTCTTTAACACCCAATACAAGTCAATAGTGTGTTTAGCTAAAACTTCCCACTCTTGCGTAACGTCACTGTGTAAATGTGCAGTTTCTATGGCAGCTGGTGCGGCTTACCTTTGCTCACAGGTGAGAGTGGAATCAAGCCGCAACTCTCCAGTCCAGAGTTTACCAGCTGAATGGAAAACACATTTATCAGTGATTTTTTTTTTTTCCATTCCCTTTTTTTAACTTGCTTTTCATGTTTGTTTGTTTTCTGAGCTGTTCAGAAACTAAAACATCTTAGCTAAAGGATCGAATTCTCAAATTTTAAAAAAAACTTTATAGGACTTTGTTGATAAACCTTTTCATAATAGGCATTATTAGGGTTTTTTATTGCTGTCATTTTAGTAACTACTTTTTAGCGTTTCTGTTTTTAGTGAAAATGTGGAAATATACTTTGTGTCTAGGTTCAACGGAGCCCCGAAAACCCCAGGCCTCCCGAAGGAGGGAGTCTCCTGCGCATCTCAGGAGAAGTGGAAGCCTCAACTTAGAACCTGATATCTTTAAAACCACAAACTTCTCTGACCCAGATGTTGGTATGGAGTTATTTCAAAAATATTTTTACATTTAAAGTTCTTTTTATTGATTTATTTTGAATAAAATTTGAGTAAAATCTTGAAAGTACACTTAAAGTGGCATTAACCATTTAGTGTCCTTATACAGTTTTTCATGGGTCTGATGAGTGAATGTAATGTCTGACAGTGGCACCCAAAGGACGTCTGCTCTCGAGGAACCCCAGCGTTGAGCGAACATTTTCCCTCCCCTCAAACCCTACTACATCCAGCTCCTTTCTTCTTCCCTCATACCCACTGGCTACGCTCCCAGGGGGCATGCTTACCCCAACCCCATCCCGCCGTCATGCAGACTCCTCCCTCTCTATGTCCAACACCTGGCCTAACAAGAAGGACAACAGCCCCCAACAGCGAGAAACCAGCCCCTGGAGAGAGACAGCGAGTGCTGCAAAAGGTAATCTAGTTGGAAAAAAGAGACTTCATTTCATATGTGTTTGTTTGTGATGCCAATAATTTTTTTATTTATTTTTTACCTTTGTGGGGGGGTTTTCGGGTTACTATCCTGTCCCAGATGACTTCTCTAGCAGACGCTCTCCCAGACCTCTTTGTGCCTCCCTCATGAATTCTTCCACGTCATCATTCAGACGGGCACTGAGCAGTCCCAGAGGTACCTTCTCCGTCTCACCAGTAATCCCTCCAACAGAGCACATCCATTCCATTAATGGCCAGAGATCCAATGCCTCAGGAAGCCCTCTGAATCAGCAGTTAGAAAAGACCCTTAATGTGGACCCTGGTGGCCTCAGTGGTGTGGATGATCTTCAAGAAGATGATCCTCTGGACATGCAGGAGGTCAGCACAATTCTCTATTTTATATACTGGATGTTGTTTATAATCAGCCATTAAGAAGGGCCCTGCATGAACAGGCAGTTGAAGTAAAATGAAAAATCAAGCCTCTATGAGTTCCTATTAGCTTTGTAACTTGTCCACAGATGCTCAACTCCCTGCGCTCACTACGCAACAGCGCTGCCAAGAAGCGGGCCAAAGCGAGCCTTAGTAGTCCAGATCCAGACAGTCCTGACTCAGCTGTGAAGGTGGACTTGGGTCTAGACTCGCTGTCAAACACTTCTCCAGTGCTTACCAGCTCGACTAGTGAAAGTGGACTTTCTAGTCTGAGCTCAGTTGCAAACTCCAGCTTTAATGGCATGAAAAGGTAAAATATCCAGATTTTCTGCATTTGGCATGTATTGCTTATGATGTTGCCTCACATTTTCATGTAGTTTGACTGTGTTGGTCTGAAATTATGTTAATACACAAGATAAAAGTCACCTCCATATACTGCAAATACATACATAATTTTAAAAAAAAAGACAGTGGGACAGGGGTATAAAGTGGGAAGTATATTTGAAGCATCGGTTTTAACTGTTAGCCACATACTTATTCTTGGTGAACCCTTCTACTATAATCAAAATACCAACAAGGGAGCAGAATTAATTAAAAAAATGTATTTTACTTCATTTTTAAAATTTACAACGGAAAATAGAGCAAATACAACAAAAAAGCCATTAGTTATAGAGTGAAATCCAGAGACAAAAAAGTAACCGGTAAGATGTGAAGTGATCTTTTATATTAAATGTAACAGGGAGATGTTTGTTTATTAATAAAGATGACCTTGTGTTGGGATATGGGATATGTTGCCTGTTGTGTTTAATCATGTTGACAGTTTTAAGAAGCTCTGACTTTGTAGTCTTTAGGTGTTCTCTGATGATGTGTTGAATGGTAGGCAGTTTCTCATGATCACTTCTCACTTGTCACAACTGTCACCAGCCCTGGAAACTCTGCCTCTGCAGGAATGAAACCTCGCATTGCAAGAGTGCCTTCTGCAAAACTGAGGTCTTCTGTGTCCTCGGACTTCAGCAGCCTTCAAGGTAGTAAAGGAGAGAAAGGTTTTTCCCAGTTGATGCATTGCCGTGTCTTTTTTATATTATTTTATTTATTTACATTTTTGTTTTCTGTTTTTTCCCAAGTGTTGTCCCAGGGAGATGAATTCTCATCTAAGGTGGGTGTGGTTGGACAGAGAGTTACGTACTCCAATGGCATAATCAAAACTGCCGAAGAGAAAACGGTACCATCCCCTCCATTGGTCAGACCAGCTTTTCACGAATCTTTAAAAGCTCAGAAGCATCCCAAAGGTCAGCTAGCATCGATGAGAACAGAGTGCTATATTGGATATACCTTCTAATAGCATTTTGTGTGCTTAAATAATTAAATCTCATTATTTATCTCTTTTGATGTTCAGGATCCCATAGTCACAGCAGCAGTAGGAAATCACCAGGCACAGACATGTCTGAAGGAGTAGTTGGCAGAGGTAAGTATGTCTATGAAGGTTCTCAGTCATCCAGGTCATCGTAGTCAAAGGAGCTTGCAAAAAAAGGCGTCTGGACTTCTTTAAGTTACTTGAAGACGTTTCACCTCTCATCCGAGAAGCTTCTTCAGTTCTAAGGTCAAATGGTGGAGAGTCCCAGATATAAACCTAGTGGGAGTGACCCCCCACAGAGGGACAAAAGGACCCCCTGATGATCCTCTAATCGCCTGAGCCAAGGTGTAAAACTGGGTGTGGGTCACAATCAGCCAGAGTATCGGGTGAGTTTAACACCCACTCACATCCTGGGCCATCTGATCTCAGGAATTCGCATGATAAGGTGGGGCCAGGTTTCACAATGAACTCATCCGAAACTCTGGCTGATTGGGACCCACACCCAGTTTCCCACCTTGGCTCAGGCGATTAGAGGATCATCAGGGGGTCCTTTTGTCCCCTGTGGGGGGAAACTCCCACTAGGTTATATCTGGGACTCTCCACCATTTGACATTAGAACTGAAGAAGCTTCTCGGATGAAACGTCTTCAAGCAACTTAAAGAAGTCCAGACGCTTTTCTTTGCAAGCTCCTTTGACTTGGCAGAGGTAAGTTTCAGATCTGTAAAGGATACAAGTTATCATTTGATTGTCCAGGCTTTTGCTGTGTTACTAAGCTGATGTAGCTCAGTGCTGCTCTTGGTTTTTTGTTTTTTTTTTGTTTTTTAAATAAAGGACTCAACAACATATCTTTTATTTCTCCCATCCGTTTTTTTTTAAACTACACGTTTTCAACTAGCTATAAATTACAGCTGCTTTCTGGATGTATTTTTAAATAAAGCTTATAAATATAAACTTGCTTGTTCCTGCATGATCACAGTTAAACCGCTAAAAGATTAGTCATCTTATTCCCTCATGCTTATTAGGCATGCTTGGCACTGCAGTGTCCTCCAGCCATCCAGGAGTTCTCTTGCCACTTGAGCACTTATCGTTCAAACCCCCCACTGATCCCTCAGTGGGCATCCACAGCAACGCTGTGTCTGGCAGTCACCAAGACAGTGATATCATCCCACGTCCAGAAGAGGTTAAGGTTAGTCACACTCTGTTCAGCGGTGGATGAAGAGTGTTGCTATATATTACTGTGATGTTTAAATAGTAAATACTGATGCCATGTTTATATTGAATATACGATATAACATATGGCATCATTTACTTTGGGATTAATAAAGTATTCTTATTCTGATAATGTCAATGTTTTTTGTGCGTGTGTGTTTTGACTCTCTGCTTAATACACCCCTAATTAATTGTCAGAAGAGAGACAAAACACATTTTAAGTTAAAATGTTAATTTCAAATTAAACAAAAACTATATATCTATATTGTATATATAAAAAAAAAAAAAAAAAAAATGATAATATCAGAATCAACCATATGTAGTGAAAACTTGGTATTGACACAGCTCCGTAGTTCATAATCTCAAGCTTCCGGTTAGCAGAATCTGACCCTGTGTGTGCTTTTGTTTTGTTTTCTGGTTGCGCAGGAGAGGATAAAAAATGCAAGATTTGGCCGGGATAAGAACAGGCTGGATCAACAAGATGGCCCGATAAGTCAAGGGCAGTATTCAACAGATCAGATTCGCTACCGTGTCAGGAAGATGCTGTCTGATTCACCAACAGAGGAAAATGGAGCATTAGTCATTAAAGGCAAGAGAAAGTTTTTGAAACTTATAAATCTCTGCTTTTTTATTTAAAAAAAAAATAAAAAGCACATTTCTCACAATAAGACCTTTTTTTTATTTTTTATTTTTTTTGGCTTAACATTTATCCCTCATCATAAATGCCTTTTATTTTGTATTTAACAAATGTGATGCATTTTTGTGACAGAAGATAGATTTAATTTTAACCTTTAATTTCTTTAAAATAAATAAAGGTTATGGTTAAAAAAATCCATCTTTGCAGATAGCTTTAAGTATTTTATAACTATCTCATATAGCACTTTTCTTTATTAATCTATACACGTCAGCTTTGTGTCCGCTGCACCCTTGGGCATACTGAACTCACAAAACAACATAACTGTTTTGCACAATGGCCTAAGGAGTAAACAGCATGTGTTAGTGTTGATTTGCTCCACAGTCCGATCATCCCATCACATCCCCCTGTGGGATTTCAGATGACTGATGGCGCATCCCCAACAGGGCAAGGGGAGCAGAGAAGGTTAATGTGCAGCTGTTAGGGTGGAGGTATCCACCCAATGTAATGCAAAATGTGTGGCTCAACCACACAAAGCTCAGTGGAGCATGCCGGGAATTTCTTATTACCAACATAAAGAGATCTTTAAACATTGACATAAAACAACATAATTAAAGTGGACGGATGTCAGTTAAAGAGCTAAAACATCGTTGACTCATAAAGTTTGCCAACTGTACTGTTTTACCTTAGACCTGCAGTACAGACTCGTGCAGTCTGTTTTTACAAGTGCAAAATGTCTCACTTGCCTCTCTTCCACTCTTCATTGTTTCCTGCCCACACACAGCAGAGTTTCTCCATCAAAAACTCCTGGTGGGGAAAAATTATGATGATGATAAATGAGTGTCTTCAAGTGCCCACTCACAGTTAGCTCTAATTTAAACCAGCATCTTCTGTTTTCTCACATTGGATGATGACGGATCATTGTGGAGGCCACACACGCTTGCGCGCACACACACACAAATTTCATAGCATGTAGAAGCCCAGGCATGTGCACAACAAAGTGTTTTGTTGAAAGTGTGAGTTATCTATAGACCTGTCACAGTATGAATCACAATAATGATATTATTACTTTAATGCACAAATTGGGAAAAGAACTAAAAACAATAACATGCATGTAGCACTTTTAACTCACTAGTGCTGTTGTTGTTGTTGTTGTTGTTGTTGTTTTTTAAATGACATTAAGAAGTTTTCCCAGGATTCATTTTATTCTCAGTCCAGAAGAGAGCGCTCTCTCAAAGCTAGTGTACGAGGGGTACTACTTGTTCTCTCACACGAGGGACACACTTAACTAGTTTAGATGTTTTTAATAATAAAGAAGAAAAAAAGCCTTTTGCTCAGCAGTGCTGCTTTCAACCACTAATGTAGGTGGTAAGTTTCCTGTGTGCCTGAATTACAGAAGCCTGTCACTTTAACAGATTTGTTATGTTATATTTTGCATGTGTAAAAAGTTCAAATTTTTGTGTCTGGTGATTCAAACGTTATTCTTCTCTGTTGCAGATCTGCATATGAACGGCAGCACAGTGACATCTAAAGCAGACCCTGTCTCTGATGAGTCTCTTGTCACCAGTCCTGACACTCCCCAAGGACCCCAAAGCCCAATTAAGTGCTTCACTCCACCCCACCAGCCCAGCCCCCCTACAGTTCCACCCAACCCTAAAAATGTGTCCCGTCTTAGGAGGGCACCTAGCCTGAGCAGAACCCGTCCTTCACTGTCCCACAGTTCAGGTGAGTTGATCTTAAAAACCTTTTACTACATGCTGCATAATCTTTGTTGCACACAGAAAGTTATTGTCCCTGTTTAACGACACTCAGTAACATTATAATGATACAAACCATTGCTATAACAAGCCTTTGTTTATAGAAAATGTTGGAACATTAATTAATTAAACCTCTGGGACCATCAGAGAATGGGTGAATAAGATGTTTGCTCTGGGTAATGTGCTTCAATACTTTGTTTTGACAACCTGCTGTTAATGCACCGACACACACACACACACACACACACACACACACACACACACACACACACACACACAGAGCGCTTGTTTTCAGCCTGATTGAGATGTAACATGAGACTGAATCTGTGTGTTGTGTGGTGTTTAATGGGCCATTTAGATGAGCTGTCCCCTGGCAGTTTGGGGCACAGGAAAAATCTCTCAGATCCTGCAGAGCTGTGTCCGTTTTCCAAACCCGAGCTGGCGCTGGTGCAAAGCTTCAATCTGCTGAACTCTGAAGACTGGTGAGAAATAATCAATCCATCATCCTTAAGCATCTCTTTCAATGTGGACCACAGAGTAAAATTATTACCCTTTGTGCGTTGTTATTTTCGAATGTAGGGAGAAGAAGATTGAAGGACTGACATTCCTGCGCTCTCTTGCACACTATCACTCAGATACACTTCAGGCTCGGCTTCATGATGTTTGCCTATCTCTCATTCAAGAGGTAATATCATTTTTTAATAACAATCCCACTTAATTTTCGGAATCTATGCATGGCGGTGTTTGACTCTGCTGTTCCAGTTTTGCAATTCTATCTAATTTCTCTGTGTCTTAATAGTTTTGCTTCATAATTATATATAGTCTCAGCTATAATTGCTTGGCATTTTGCTAAATTCCCATTGTAGATTTTTTTTATTTGGTCAAATAGATATCTTGAATATGTAATCAGTGCTCATTTACTCTTCTTATACCTTAAGCACTAATATTGTTAATCTTATTTAGGTGAAGAACCTGCGGTCGGGTGTGTCCAGGGTTGCCGTGTGTACCCTGGGTGACCTGTACACACACCTTCAGCGAGCGATGGACCAGGAGCTAGAGGGGACAGTTAAAGCTTTACTGCAGAAGGCTGGGGAGAGTAATGCCTTCATTAGGCAGGATGTAGATGCAGCACTGGATTGCATGGTGCAGCACTGCACCCCTACTCGAAGCATCAATGCTTTACTTACTGGAGGACTCAGGTTAGATTACACACAGGACAGCTCTTTGTTGTTTGTTTGCTTCTTCTCTGTTTGGATCACTACATAATTTAAGCTTTGATTGCTGAATTGATTTCCTCCTCTGCTGATAGTCACCTTAATGCAGTAGTGAGGAAATGTATGGCTCAACATCTGGCTAATTTGGTTGAGAAGGTTGGTGCTGCACGTCTCCTTTCTGGGGCTAAAGATCTCACTGACAGAATTTTACCTGCCGTGGTCAAACTCACACAAGACTCCTCACAAGAAGTTAGGTATGTAAAAAAAACAAAAAAACAAACTTTCATATTAATTCATTTAATTTTTGTGTTTTAACTTCTTTACAACTTGTTCATATTTGCTTGAACGGTGAGATTATATTTTTATGTATTGCCAATGAAAAGCATTCAGCAATAACAGATAACAGTCAGAAAATGTCAAATTTGAGACATTTTAAAAGTCTTTAGACCATCAAAAGGATATAGTACAATCCAAATCTACTTTTGGTTTTGCTGGAATTGATTTGTTATTGTTGACACTATTTCTTTTGGTGTCACTGTACTGTAATTACCTTGCATTTCATTAAAATATGTTTAGAAATGCTTTTCTGTTGCTTTTGGACTGCAAATCCAAAGTGCCACTTTAACAAATGAGATAATATTACACCTTCTCCCCTCAAAGGTACTTTGGCCGTCGAATGCTGCTGTCCCTGTCTTCCCACCCAGAATTTGAAAATATCCTGGAGAAATACATCCCTACGAAAGACCTGCAGACTGTCAGAGACACCATCTTCACTCTAAAGACAAAGGTACTGTTTCTTTCTGTTTATGTTTACAGGAAAATTGGTATTTTGGAAGTTAAATATAGGCATCTAACTCTGAGATTGTTGGGGGGGGTTAGGGTCTTGGTGAGATGCCTCAAGATACTCAGTCAGCCCGAGGCAGACGTTCCCTCCCGGGCAGCGGTACAGTCAGAGCCTCATCGCTCAACAGAGAGCCACTCAACCAGACCAACAGGTGGGTGTAGATATCAACCAATGCACCAGAGTAGCCCATTAAGGAAAATTTATTTTTCACAAATGTGTAATACATATGGAAAACACGTGAATTGTGATGCATTTTATATACAGGGAGTCTCACAGCCATTACAGCTGTAGATCTCAGACACAGAGTTTTGCAGACAAGACTGAGTACATCAAGCAGATCTCGGATCTGCTGGCTTCAAAGGACTTCAGAGAGAGGATCAAAGGCATCGACCAGCTAGTGGCTGACTGCCAAAACAACCCAAACATGGTTATCAACAGTATATTCCCGGTTAGTAATTTATTTATTTTTTTCTCCAAATCAATTTAGCATGTCTTTATGTACATTGTGGTCTTTTCATTATAATGACAAAGTGTTTATCCTTCACTTTCTGATCTCCCTAATTCTAGGTGTTTGATGCCTTCAGAGCCAGGCTGCAGGAGTCCAACAGCAAGGTCAACTTGTATGCCCTGGAGTCTTTACAGAAAATCATCCACTTGTTAAAGGACAAGCTGTCCCAAGTGGTCAACATCCTGGTCCCAGCAATCGTGGACAATCACCTCAACTCAAAGAGCAATGCCATCTGCTCTGCTGCTATTGGAGCTATTAATGCACTCATCTTAAATATAGGTACTTACTTTGAGCATTAAAATAGAGGAGAAAGTTTTGGTTAAAAAAATTGCTTTAATTTGACTTCCATTTTTTTGCCTGCTACAGACAACATACTTCTCCTTCAGCCTTTTTGCGCCAAGGCTCAGTTTTTAAGCGGGAAGGCAAAGGTGAACCTTATCGAAAAGGTCGCAGGTATGTCTGGTGTCCTAGTTCGGCACTGTAATCAGCTTCTGCTTTGATGTATCTAAATGCAGTGTATTGCTTCTCATCTTCTATATTTAGATCTTGTGACAGAGCTCTACCCTCGTAAGCCCCAGATGGTCGAGCAGAAAGTGCTGCCCTTGCTCTGGCACCTCTTGGGCACCTCTACCCACAGCGGCACCATTCATGGCCGGGGCGGCAGCGTAAGGGGTGCTACCGCCAACCTGTGCCAAGCCCTTTATGCCCAGATGGGGCCAAGCCTGAGCGAGTGTGCCGCCTCCCAGCCTGCCAATGTCCATAAAAGTCTAAATGATATCCTGAGGACCTTATCGTAAGGTAAAGCAGGCTCCAAACAGAACCAAATGTCGAAAGAGGGACAGCATTAAAACTGATCTTACTTGAAGATGTTGCATTATCATTTCTTATAGTGCCTGCACTTTTATATAAACATAGAGAAAGTCCTTAAGAATTTGGAGCTCTTATTCTTATCTCAGTGAGATTCCGTCTGGTACAGAAGCATGGATGGCTGTAACATAATGGCATCAGGTCTTTCACATGTCCAACCTGCTCTCTTTGCACTTTGAAAGTAGCTCATTGTCGTTGCTTTGTTTTTGTTTTTCCATAAACTCTACATGTACTGTAGACCAGCGGTCTCCAACCTGTTTTGCACCACGGACCGGTTTATGCCTGACAATATTTTCACGGACCGGCCTTTAAGGTGTCGCGGATAAATACAACAAAATAAAACTAGTACCGGTACCGAAAAAAAGAGAATTTATTCATAACACACGTGAAAAGACCCAGGAAAACCGAGTTAACGATAAAAACGATAACAAAATAACGCTGAAAACCGATAAAAACCCTGAAAACCAAACATTTCACACTTGAGCCTCAACTCTCACGGCCCGGTACCAAACGACTCACGGACCGGTACCGGTCCGAGGCCCGGGGGTTGGGGACCGCTGCTGTAGACAAATCAGAGACACTATTGCAGAATGTAAAATTAAAATGCACAAAAAGAAGAGGAAGAACACAGGGACCTGAAAGTTGTATATTTTTGCTGTTTCATCAGATGTGATGTGATATTTTTAAAATATCTTTATGTAGTTGGAGATTTTTGAACTGAGATTAACAAGCATAGTACAAAAATACTTTTGTACAGCTCAAATGTGTATTTGCACAGTATTAGCTTATTCTATATGTTTGCTGTATGACGGTACAGTTATAATTTATCTCTTGTGTAATGGTTTAAAAGTCATATATAATGTGCTGAGTTGGTACTATGTCTCTTTTTGCATGACCAAAATTTACTGGCAGATCAAAACTGTTGATTTATGTGTACGTGGACTTGTAGAGGAAGGTTGGTCTCGAACTCTGAGAAGGGAAAAATTTTACCTCTTCATTTGCCTGAGAAATAGTCACAGCCCAGGTCTGATATTGTCTCAGTATAGTGCCAGTCTTCAAGTAGCCTTTTAACTCATCTATTGTTAAATTATAACTGAACTTGTTTGTGAACAAGAGCAAGAAGATATATGAATAAACTGTTTTATTTCTGTAAAACCAACTTCAGCGTGCGTCATTCAAAGACTGAAAATGGGGTGGAAGGATTAACTCGCTAATCACAAACATGGATCATTTTAAAAATTGAAAGATGACTTCTGTCCATTAAACACACATTATTAATCTTAGGTAATCTAATATAGCTTTATTAATAGGTGGAGTTACTGGAAACACAAGCTTCAGGTGTTCTTTTTTTAATTCCTTATGCTTCATTCATGACATTCTTAGTAAAAGCTAGCCATAACTAGCCTTCTGATGACTACACTTCATTTGTAAAAAACAAAACAAAACAAATGTCTGGCTGTGAAGAATCCTTGAAAGAGGACTGATCAAAGGCTTGAAAAGAGGTAGGCTTAGCACACGATTTTGGGGGGGAAAAAACAAAAAAGGGGGGGGCGTTGCTTCAAAAATGCTCTCATGTTTAACAGTGAACACTAATATCTCTGTAATTCTATGGTCATGATTAAACATGACATCCAAAGTACACTCTTGGGTTTGTAATTTAATAAAACACAAATCATAATCACCGAACCTTTATATCAAAGTAGCTGCCATTTTGAAATAGCACTGTTTAGAAATGTATGCTAGCTGCAAAACACTACGCATGTGCGGTCCTTGTAAGACTGAACAAGCTACTGTTTGACCTTCATTTAATGGTACGTGATTTTCTAGCATTTCAGCAGCAGGGTGAACTAGCTTGTGCTTGGAGGGATGCTGCTACTGTTGTTTTAATTTTATTTTTTTTTAAAGAAAAAAGAAAACCTAAAGGTAATCCTGTCCAATACAGCAACTAAACTGCACATAATTCAAACTTGATATCAGCAATATACACAGAAAATAAACATTTAGTTTTCCACGTCCAGTGTTTTCCAATAGCAAACCTTTAGCAAAGATATAAAAATGAGGGAGTGCTTTCAGAATAAGAGCAAAACTCCCTTTAAACTTCAGAGCTAGCCACAGTGGTGCTGTCAAAAGGGCCGAATGCGTTTGCTACTTGAATGTGCAGATTCCTTACCTTTGCTTATGGATGCATACAGTTAGATGGAATATGTCACAGATTAGGCATATACATACAACAAAAGAAACAGTATAAATATTTCGAAGTCTCGTTAAATGTGCTTTTTGGCATGAAAAAAAACAGAGCCAATGAGTTCACTCACCTGGATTGACTTCTTTCTTAAAATTATGTAACTAAAAACTAAAGCCAAGGGAAAGTTAACATACAGGATATTCTCACAGATTCCTGATCAGTTAACCATCAAGTTCCTTTTGTGTTATGAATGAGAGCGGTTCATGATTTTGACAGTGTTCAGTTAATGCTCTGCTGCTCTCGAGTCCTTGCTTTGTTCCCTCAGCTTCACTGACCAAATGGAAAAAACGAGCCCCTCCTCCCGTTGATCTTTCCATCCTGTTACTAAGGCAGCTGGATCGATTCCACGTTAGACGAGTGTGTGGTTGCCATCCCGAACACCTCATTCTGTCAGGGACCAGATGTCTTGGGCAGGTCCTGATTCTCAGCCAAGTGGAGCTTTTGTCTGAACGTGCACACATTAAGGATTCACCACAGAAGGACTGAAAACACATTCAAATCCAGCATCCGCTCCTGGACTGTCGGGGCAATTCCCATAAACAAATATGCATTTGAGCTAAGAAAAGGATACATTGAGGTGCTGAGCTCTTCAAGCTGCAGAAACAAAGGAGCAAACAGGAGAGAGGGTTATTGAAAACAAAGCCAAAAATAGAAAGTGAAGCGCTAGTACCTGGCAGTAATCTCACTGTGGGATCATGTTACATAACAGCCTGTGCATTTCAGATCAATATTTGAGTTACGCTCTCATCATCGACTGCAGTGTTTCCAGAAGCAAACGTTAAGCTTCGATACAAAGTAAAGTTGCTTCATAGCCCATCTGCTCTGAGGCCCAATTATCCACTCTGGAGAGTATTCCTGGCAGCAGTGTCTGTAAATGAGTTGAAGGGTTTTTCTCACCTCAGTCACAGAGCACTGCAGCTTCCCGCAGTGAGCATAGCGTGGGTAACTACAGTAGGAGCCACACAACAAACTAACAATAGAAACTGTCAAGACATCCTTAGATGGCACATCACTGTACGAGAGCTTTTTTTTTTTCCCTTTTTAAACGAGCCAACAGTTCAGCAAAACTGAATTTCATGTGGAAAATTATAGTAACAGGATTTAAATTCATTGGTTTGTCCAAATAAAAAAAATTCACATTTTCCTTCAGTCTATAGTACCGTTTATCAAAAGGTTTTTGTTTGTTTGAGATGCCCAATTGTGGAGATATTAGCTCTACAAACCTTCCCTTTCGTCACAGCCTTCTCATGTGGGGGAAAAAAACAAACAAACAAAAAGCATCTGAATGTCTCCCTCCAGAAATCATATCGCTCAAAAAAAAAAAAAGAAAAACACACTATAAAATGTACAGCCACCTAACATTACAGCTCAACTAAGGAGTACAAGCCTTGACACCATTTTATGGAGCTTTATGGTGAGATTTGAAACCCAGTTATTATCATCAGGTTAAGTCTTTCTGTTCCCAAGCACAGCCAAACAGTTATCAACATACACATAACTAAGTTTCTTACCAAAGCACAATTGGAAATCCTAACATCCATCAGCATGTCCACAGGAAAAATAGATACTAACCAATGAAAACAGGAGCCTCTGAGGAAATATGTAAATAAATGTAAATGAAGGAGTAAGAAAGTATCTTCCCAGGTGTGCCTGGGAAAAGACAAACTTAACTCTGTGAATACTGGGAGTTAAATCACACTTCAGGATAACATAAAATAGTGCCATTCACATCCTGTGGGCGTCGGCTCTGCCAGCTGATTGGTCTGTACACCTGACCCGATGAGGAAAAATCAAACGGGACAATGTTAGACTAGTTAGGTAACACAGATTAATGCAAGTCTATTAGCAGGAACCACAGCTGTTGCGTGGAAGACTTGTGTAATCTCCATTCACTCCAGTGGACCTTGTTTTGGGTTTTTTTTAAAGGGTAAGAAGGTAAAAAAGTAGTCTGTATGTTATCAGCACACAATGAAACTGCTTGAAGGGTTTTATGATCCAGTGAATTCTGAAACCTGGCATGACCCCGAATTAACGGCTCTGGCCAACTAGCCAACCCAGTGAGATCACATTCTGTACAGGCACAAGATGGTGCTACATGTGCTCTAAAACCTTTAAACACTTATTTCTTAAATCCAGCTCTACAGATGGTGTTAAATCTATAGCGGTTTTTCAGAGTAGAGCTCCGTGATGTAAACTAGCCTTAATACCTGTACATGTGGTGTTTCATGTCCACTTTAAAAAGCTGCTGCCACTGGGATTCATGCTTACGTTGCAGAGCAGGTGTTCCAGGTTGTGGTCGGAGGCACATTTCCTCTGGTCCTCGGAAAGCTCCTCCACATGGCTGTCAAGGCTGAAGTGCAGTCGTGCCAGCTTTTCCTGCATCTCCCGCACGTGTTCGAGCTGCTCAAAGGAGCATACTTTACCTGGAAATCAGACAGGTTAAACCAGACCTGAATCTGATGGCGCAGTGTGTCTTGTCTTGTGATTACATCAAAGTCAAAAGTATTTCCATGGCAGCAGAGGCGTAAAAAAATAGCACAGCGTGTATTTGATTTCAGCCTGATTCATGTAACACAGCCACTTTTCACTCGCCTTTATTTTCAGCCAGTAACAGAATACTCTCCTGGGGGGGGCATCTTATCAGGTTACCTTACCAAAAGCTTGCAGTTTGCCTGAGTGGAAGTCATTGAGGAGGTTGAGTAGGCCTCCCTCCATCTCTCTCACATCTGAGACATCTGTGAGGAAGGAGTGCT